CCAGGATGGTCTCGATCTCTTGACCTCGTGATCCACCCGCCTCGGCCTCCCAAAGTGCTGGGATTACAGGCTTGAGCCACCGCGCCCGGCTCACACAACCTTCTTATAAGGACACCAATTATAGCATTTAGGGTCCATTCTAATCTCATACGGCCCCATTGCCCCGTCTTAACTAATTATATCAATGACCATATTTCTAAATAATGTCACATTCTTTTTTTTTTTTGAAACAGAGTCTCACTCTGCTGCCAATTCCCACCGATTTCCTAAAACTATGTCAAAAGGAAAACGCCAACTTTACATGCTCAAGTAACAAAAGGACCAGAGGCCACTCTCTGCATGGCACCCCCTTTTCTGCATGGCAGATGTAAAATGGAAAATACCTCTGGAGTATTTTCCAGAGGCTGGAGTGCAGTGGCACAAACAGGGCCCACTGCAGCCTTGAAGTCCTGGGCTCAGGTGATTCTCCCACCTCAGCCTCCTGTGTAGCTGGAACCACAGGCATGTGTCACTATGCCTGGCTAATTTTTTGATTGTTTTTAGAGATGGGGTTTCGCCATGCTACTCAGGCTGCCTCCCAAAGTGCTGGGATTATAGGCGTGAGCTACCAAACCCAGCCTAATGTCACATTCTGAGGCTTAGGATGAATGTGAAATTTGTGAATCTTGATTCAACCCACTAAACTCTCCTCCATCACAAATCCTGTCCACATCGGAGGGAGCTGAGGTTTTCCCAACGTTTAGAGAATGGGGTCTGGCCCCTCCCTGCCTCATCACCTCGTGTCCTCTACCTTCCTGCCTCCAGCGCAGCCACCTGGGCCTTCTTTTAGCTCCTGAAACACAGAGAGGGGTCCATTCCAGACTCCTCTTCTCTTGGAATGTTCTCCAAGAGAATGTTCTCCACATCTTCAGACGACCCCTCTCTCAGAGGGCTCCCCCTTAACCTCCTTGGTCTCTCTCTATTGCATTGTCCTGCTTTGCTGCCTTGGCCAGTGGCCATTGTTGGAACTTGTCTCCGTGGGTGCTCCGTGCTTCTCTGCCCCCCTACCCCACCCCCAGCCATGGCTGCCATGAGGGTGGAGACCTGGTTGATTTTGTTTGTGTAGCAGCTCCAGGATCTGGCCCAGTGCCTGGTGCCAAGTAGACTCTCAACACACATTTACTGAATAAACAAAAGGCATCAATGACTAGCCCCTCATGAATGCACAGCGTCTCCTTCTTAAGAAATTTCCAGCAGAACGAGGAGGTCAGCTGTGGCCAAACTAGCAGACCCTTTGTCCTTCCTTTACAGCTGGATTTAGAATACAAAGCCTGAAAAACTCTGCCATCTAATGGACTCACAGGAGAAGTGTTTTCTTTATTTTAAAAAAAAATGTTTATTTATTTATTTATTTTTAGAGATGGAGTTTCACCAGGTTGGTCAGTCTGTTCGGAACACCTGACCAGGTGATCTGCCATACTGGGCCTCCCAAAGTGCTGGAATTACAGGCGTGAGCCACCACGCCCAGTCAGAAGTGTTTTGTTTCTTTAAATTAACAACCACACACTCAAACAATGGGCTGAAGGACCAAACACACTGTGCACAGGAGAAAACATGAAAGGAGCAGTCCTGGCCTCCACTCCACTCTGCAGAGAGCACGCAGATAATCCCAGGGGTCTTTCTCAGATGGAAGCCAGAGATTTAGGGTTGCCAGATGAAACACAGGATGCCCAGTTACATCTGAAGTTCAGATAAACAATGAGGAACTTTTTAATATAAATATGTCCCAAATATTGCAAGGAACGTATTTATACTAAAAAGCTATTTGTTGTTTACCTGAAATTCAAATGTAACTGGCAACTCTACAAGGACTGGGTAGGGAGGGTGCCCTTTGGCTGACTGGCTCTCACAAGGCCTTGTTCCTGAGCCACAAAAGATAAAGCTGTCAATTTGCAATCTACAGGGATTTATAAAAGAAAAACAGCCAGAGAACCGTGACTAGCAGAGCGCTGTCCGAGGTGCTGAATTCAAAGACGCGAGCACTAAAAAGAATGTCCTTTGGAGGTTCCAAGAAAATTCAGACCTAGGTGCCTATTATTTAGAGTAGGGTCTCCAACACCCAGAAACACATTTTTTTTCCCATGGAGAAACACCTCCTACATATTTTTATTCCATGGAGAATTTACCAAACTCTCTTTTTTTTGTGCGACAGAATCTCGCTCTGTCACCCAGGCTGGAGTGCAGTGGTGCGATCTCAGCTCACTGCAACATTTGTCTACTGGGTTCAAGCAATCTTCCTGCCTCAGCCTCCCGAGTAGCTGGGACTAAAGGCGCACAGCACTATGACTGCCTCATTTTTGTATTTTTAGTAGAGATGGGGTTACACCATGTTGGCCAGGCTGGTCTCAAACTCCTGACCTCAAGTGATCAGCTTACCTCAGCCTCCCAAAGTGCTGGGATTACAGGTGTGAGCCATTGCGCCTGCCCCCAAACTCTTAATAGGGCTTATCTTTTGATAGGGTAGGATTATGGCACTTTTTATTTAATTTTATTGAGACAGGTCTCATTTTTCACTTTGTTGCTCAGGCCTTAATGCAGTGGTGCAATCACAGCTTACTGAAGCCTCAATGTCTTTGGGCTCAGGTCATCCTCCCACCTTCACCTCTCAAGTAGCTGGGACTACAGGTGCATGCCACCACGCCCAGCTAATTTCTTTATATTTTAGGGTAGAGTGGGTTTTGTCATGTTGCCTAGGCTGGTCTCGAACTCCTGGGCTCAAGCAATCCACCCACCTCGGCCTCCCAAAGTGTTGGGATTACAGGCATGAGCCACTGTGCCTGGCCTCATTTTCTTCTTTTATACATTTTGATGTTGTTGAGACAGCATCTCACTCCTGTCACCCAGGCTGGAGAGCAGTGGTGTGATCCTGGCTCACTGCAACCTCAGCGTCCCGAGTTCAAACATTTTTCCTGCCTCCTGCCTCAGCCTCTTGAGTAGCTGGGATTACAGGCCTGTACTACCAAGTCCAGCTAATTTTTATATTTTCAGTAGAGATAGGGTTTCACCATGTTGGCCAGGCTGGTCTCGAACTCCTGATCTCAGGTGATCTACCTGCCTCAGCCTCCCAAAGTGCTGGGATTACAGGCGTGAGCCCCTGTGCCGGGCCCTTTTATATGTTTTTACGTGGCTGAAATCAGACTTCCCACCCCACCCCCTTGCCTGACCCTTACCGATACTTCATGCCTGTGCGCTGGGCGGTGCAGCCGTCCAGGGAGAGGCCGTGCATGCGGAGGAAGCTCTCCATGTTCCTGGCCTGGGCTGCTGCCCGCACCTCCCGCAGCCGCTGCAGTTCCAGCATGTCAGTCTGGCGGACGGGGTGCAGGGCCCATTCAGAGTGGCACCTGCTGCTCACGCTCCGCAGACTCTCACTGTATGTCATGGACAGCATGGTGCCGCCTGGCCTGGGAGCCGCCGCTGTCCAGACGGTGATGAGTTAGACAGTGTGCCAGTGCCCCACATGCCCCAGGCTGGATGGCTGGGCCTGGGGCAGGGAGCAGCTGCAGCGAAACATCCTCTAACTAGTGCCGCCACCAGAAGGTCTTGGTATCTAGGAGTGGGACCTGGCCCCTGGATGCAAACACCTCTTGGCATGAGATTCCCAATCCGCAAAGCAGTGCTTGCCGGGAACTCCAGCTAAGCTGCCCTTCTCTGCCCCCTGCAACCATGAGACAAGCACAGGCAAAACTGGCTTCCAGGCAGGACAGCTGCACCTCAAGTGTCCAAATGAAACGGAAGCACAGACAGCATGCAGAGCCTGAGCACCCCCAAACGCTGAAGACCAGGGCTGCTGTTCTGTGGTGACTGCAGTGCCATACCACAGGGCTCTCTTGAGGTGGTTCCCAGGGTAAAACTGGGTCAAGAGCTGTCCCTGGGAAAGCAGCCGAGCGCACACCTGTTGCTGAAATAAATTCTCCTGTAATTGTGCCAGGAAGGCACCTCACCCCCGCATGCCAGGTGGCCCTAACCGGGGAAGGTCTTATTTGTTCCTAGCCTTGTAAAGGGAAATGTGTCGTGATACTATACAACACATCCTTGCTTGTTGAAAGCATTACTGCACCAGCAGAGATCTTCGGGCTTCATGCCTTTTGCAATAGAAAGACTGAGCAGAATGCAGTTAAGCAGGTTGCAGGGAGAGTCGGCTGGGGAAAGAGCCTTAGTTGGGACAGGGGAGTTTCAAAGTTTCTATGTGAAGAACCATTGGTAAATAGCCTAAATGATGAACGTGCATTCTTATAAACTAAAAGCAACATAAATGTCCATCAGTAGGGAAACTGGTTACCTAAGTGACAGTCCATCCACATAGTGGGAATTTGTGCTGCTGTCAAGAATGCGGCATTTCAACACAGACGGACGTGCAGTGAGCCCTAAGAGATGGTGGATAACTAAAAGGTCAAGGGAGAAACGTGCATCCAGAACACATCCACTGGCGTTAATTCACATACACAACAGTGAGTGGACCAGTGAAGGGGGCTGTGAGTCCTCACCCTGCAGTCTGTGACAGGGCAATGAGGACATGGAGGCAGGCTCCATGTAAAGGAGGTCCACGGTCCAGTGACCCTCACCCCACCTGACTGAAGCCTTCGCCATGGCCCACGGGGCCTGCACTGCAGCCTGACATTGTCACCAAGGAGAGAAGGTGCAGAGGGGAAGTCACAATTTCAGCTGGGTCAGCTGAAGACTGGGATCGTGGAACCTGGCCTGGGAACTGGAAAGAAGCCAGCACTATCCCCACCTTCTGCCCCAGAGAGGAAAAGTCCAATTATCCCTGGGAAGGAGCTGGGAGGGCTATCCTGGGGGCTGAGGCAGCTACAGAGGCTTTGGCACGGCCCTTGATGGGGGCTGAGAGGTCTTGGAGCTGCCCAAGCCAGGCCCTTCCTGGGGTGTGCTCTAGGGGTCAAAGGAGGGAGCCGCAAGGGGCAGGAGTTTGCAATAAGCCCCGTGTGACAGGGTCCTTCCAGAATGGGTGAGCAGCCTGCTGACCTTTCAATGCTCTGTCTACACGTGCACCCGGGGACGGGGGACACCTCCAGGAGCCCCGCGGCTGCCCCTTTCACAGAGATTTCCCTGCAGGTATTCGTCTGTATCTTACTTGCAGGGACCGTCCTTCATGTCTGCCCTGTTGTGCCCAGCATGAGGCCTGGCTCAGAGCGGAGCCTGCAAATGCCTGTGGTATGAATGTGCAATTGAGGTAGGGAAGGTGGGCTCAGAGAGGAGCTAAAGAGAGACCAGCAGGCAAGGAGCCCCGAGGAGCCCCTGCAGGGAGACGGGGAGCAATGTCCACACAGGCCTTGGCCTCACCTCCCTAGTCAGGGCTGGATGGCACTCTCCCTGAAGGCCGGCAACCAGCTGTTCTTGGGCAGCCTGCCATGCCAGTCACTTCCAGCCTGCACCTCTGTCTGATGGGCACGGCTCCAGGGGGGTCCTGCGTTTCCCATCCTACCCTCTGCCTCATGCACACCATGCCTTGTGCCTCTTTCCTGCTGTGAACTGTCTCTATGGTGCTTGCCAGCATCCATCTTGCAGCTTCCTTTCTAGTTGTCTTGTGTGCTGAATTCACTCCCCTGAAGGTTGGGTCCAGGAGGGCAGGGACCCTTCTGCCTGCTGTCACTGCTGCCTGCTCAGTGCCCATGGGAGCGCCCCTCGTGCACAGAGGAGGGGGTCGGATACTTGTAAAGCAGCAACCAAGGCCCAGGCTCCAAAAGGCTAACCAGGGCGTGGCTGGCTTCCTGCCTCAGGCCCAGGGGCTCTCTGCAGGTCTCTCCCTCTCTTGCTGGGGGGAGGGGGTTCCCATGCCAGGACTTGCATCCACCACTGCTCATTTCCACACTGGGAGGGGTGTTGCCTGCGGGATCTCTGGATGCTAGAGCAGGCAGGGTGCCCTGGCATGGAAAGCCCTGCCTTCTGGGAGAATCGCTCTGGAGGGCAGAGAGGCCTGGACTCCAGGAGAGGCTCATCTTAGGAAGTGAGGCTCTGGGAACCCACAGGCAGCAGTTCCAGCTCCCCCTCCCTGCCTGCTGGTGGCCACTCCCTTCCCTCCATGTGCACAGCAGGCAGCTGCTTCTGAGGTGGCTGTGTGGCCTTCGGCCAGCCCTTTGTGGGGCACATGGAGGCCAGCCCTCTCTTCCCTGAGGTCTGTGTTTAGAAAGAAGGCCAGGCGGGCAGGCTGCAGCCGCAGGGCTCTTTCTGAAAGGCAGGACCAGCCTCAGACGCGCAAGCTCCCTGCCTGGCCTGACCAGGCTGAGATCAATAGCCATTAGCTTTTAAGATATTACCCACAAAAAGTAACCCAGGTCTGGTTTGGCCCTGGAAATACAGCCAAGGCCCTAGGGCAGGAGGACAGGGTGGCTGAGTGCCCAGCTTCTGGACAGGGGCAGCTCTGGTTGTCACCTGCTCATAGTGCGACCCAGGCAGGTACCTTGACCGCTTCCAGCTTCAGCCTCCATATCTGTGAGGTGGGCTGAGTAGACGCCTGCTGTACCAGGCTGCTGTGGGCTGTGTGAGATGAGGCTTTGGACAACCGGGTGGGAGCTGGTGACGCAGCTGGAAGCGGGTCTTGCAGGGGGTGTGGGATGACACCAATTATGATAAATGCCATGGAGAGAAAACTCCACCACCAGGGGCCGGCAGGAAGGCTGGAACTTGTGACCACAGGCTTGAGTGAGAGGAGTGAGCCACACAGACACCAAATCTCCCCAGAAAATGCTTAAGGGAGAGAACAGAGGTGAATAATCACCCCCTCCTGCAGAGAATGCACACCTTTGCGACAAGATGGTAGAGGGCCAAGTTTGGGGATGTGGGTGGGAGTAACCAATGCCTAGGCTGCAAAAGGCCGACCAGGGCTCCACCTGGGCATTTCCTGGCAGTGCCAGGTGGCAGCTGGCAGGGATGGGGCTGGCTTCCTGCCTCAGGCCCACCAGCTCTTTGCAGGTGGCCCTCTCTTGTGTGTGGGGGGCTCCCACACCAGGACTTGCATCCTCCTGCCAGTGGGGGCTCCTCGTGGCCCTGAGGGGTCATGACTCTGGGAGGGCAGCCACGGGGGAAGAAAGATGTGTGCACGCCAAAGGCTAAGAGGCTCTGCCCATTACCAGCGGTGCTGGGGAACAGAGGACAAAGGCTGGCTCCTCTGGACTCTCTCACTCTGGGGCTCTATTCCGGGTTTTCAGGGAAGGTGACTCTAACAGCGTCAGGTCCATGGACGAAGGGCCCCCGTGAGACACTGCAGGGAGGAGGTAGTGGCCCCACTGCCGGGTGCCTGCCTCGGGACCCCCACTTCTCCTGAGCTCAAGAGTGCACTGACCCCTGACCTTATTCAAAATATCCCAGATTCCAGCTGTTTTCCAGAGTGAGGGTCTCTGAGCCATGAAACTCCCTCACCATCCTGCTACCAAGCAAAACGAGCCCCCCCTCAATAGCCATTGCTAATTATGTGGCCCCTACAAGTTCTTTCCTGGGCTGGGCCTGCCCTGTGCAGATCTATTCCTGTAGATCAGAGGCCCAGGGGGACTCACGTGAATTAACACTGTGACACGGAAAAATGAGAGGAAGATGTTGACCTCATTAAGTCAGTAGGAATCACTACCTCCTCTCAGACTCCTCTACCTGGAATTTCTGAATCGTTTTGTTTACCGAAAGCCAACAAAGCACAAATCGTGAGACTGAGAAGGAATCCTGAACGTCACTTCTGCATGGTGACACCTGTCCAGAGAGCAGAGAGCCCAACCAAAGTTCTCAAAAGCGGAAACGGAAGGGGAGCTGCTACCATTCCGGGGTGCGGCTCTACAACGCACAGCATTGCATCAGTGCAAACACAAAAGAATTTGCGCCCAAGGACAATCAGCAAACCGATGCCCGAACAAGCACCCCCGGCTCCCTTGGCACGTGCTTCCTGCACAGGCAAGACCGAACCTCCCCGACCGCGCTCTGGGCAAAACTGGAAAATGCTGAATCTTAATCAACGGTGAATACAACGAGGTGGGAGCTAGATGGCCGAGTCTCCAGCAGACGGGGAAACAGCCAGCCTGGGGCAGGTCTGGGCTGCAAGCAGGCTCAAGCGAGAGATGCTGCCTGGCTGAAGCCACCGCCCACCGCCCCATCCATCAGGCATTCCAGGTTTACCTCGGGCTGGTTCTTTTTTGAGGTCTTCTGCTTTGAAAAAATGCAGAGGGTCTAATTTCAGATTAGCCAAAAGCACCCCAAAATATTGTCTCCTCTTATTCTCATTCCTGGGGATGCAAACCCCCAAGCGGCACCTCCCCTAGGAAGGTAGCGGCTGCATCCAGTCCTAGGGCTGAAGGGAGGACTCACCTGCCTTCCTGGGGGCGTCTGCTTGTTACAAAGCCCACAGTCTAGTTTATTAGGGATGACCAGACGCTCTAAGGATCTGGCACGGCAGCTTTCTCATTAGGGAGTGTCACTGCAGGACGTCAGAGGCAATTGGTGAATGAGATGAGTCCCACCAGAGTCAAGTTTTGAGGCAGCGAGTCCATTAGTTCTATTAGGGCATTTTTATCTCAGCGAAAGAGGCTGAATTATTCACGAGCGCCTCTTCCCCTAAAAGCTCGGAAAGTGCAGTTCTGTGCTGCAACCTGGCAAGGCCCACTCCTGGTGCGTAGAGTTGGGGTGCAGCCCAAGGCGGGGGGTCCTGCCAGTCCCCCAACCTGGCAAGACCCACTCCTGGTGTGCAGAGTTGGGGTGCAGCCCAAGGAGGGGGTCCTGCCAGTCCCTCAGGACTACCCTTGCTGCCTCCACCATCCCCGTGTGCCAGAAACACAAAGCCTTGGACCCACAGGTCAAAAGGGGCAGGCCTTGCTCTTTGGTACTTGAGTGTGGGACACAGAGCCTGCAGCTTCTGCACCCCACTCAATTCTAAACTGTGTAGCAGGGGAGCTGGGGGCTTCGTGGTATGGGACCACCACCCACAGCCCAAGGGGGTCTGCAGAGGCCTGTGCTCAGCTCACGTGAACGCTCCTTCTCTCCTCGCCACCATAGATGGCTCCCCAGTGCCCTCTGAATGCATCCAAGCCCTGTTGCTTGGCATTTGAGGCCCCCCACCAACATCCACCTCTATAGTCTGCCTCTCCTCATTCTCCATCATGTTCCTGATGGCCAGGGCTGGGTAACTTCACTTCCTGTTCTCTGTGGACACCTCTGGGATGGGGCTCGGGCTGTTGTATCTACAGGAATGTGCTTCCCAGTCTCTGTGTTGAATCCTGCCCAGCCTTCAAGGTTCAGATCAAGCCTGTGCTGCCTTCTCCACGAAGCCTTCCTGGCTCTCGGCTGGCTGTGGCCACTCCTTCCTCAGACCCCAGAGGCTCTTTGGGCTTCTCCCATAACATGCTTTGCCTTCTGGAGATCATCAGAGTGATTTGAGACCTGGTTGCATGGGAGTATTGCTCCCAATCCTTCACCCCTCTCTGTATCCATGCCCTTTGCTGTGCGGCTTTATCGCTCCTCCCACTGGTGGGGGCAATGTTTCCAGCCCCTTAATTTTGGGCTGGTTCATGAGACTTACTTTGGTCAAAAGCATATGAGCAGAGGTGACAGCACTCCGACCCCAACCACAGGCCTTAGACCCTGCATGTTTCTGCCTTTTCTCTGGCACTTCTGCTGTGGGAGGAGCATGCCTGGGACAGGTCCTGGTTAAGAAGGACGGGAAGATGGAGGGCGTGGGGATCCAACTTGCAGCCTAGAGACAAACCCAGCCGAACCAGCTTACATGAGATCCTGGTCAACCCGCAGACAGAGAAGCAAGGAAGAGACGCTGATTGCTGCATGGCGCTGAGTTTTGGAGCTGTTTGTTATGCAGCACAGGGTGGACAGCTGACTGGCACAGTGTCCTGCCTTGATTCCTTGCCTGGGGGGCTGCATGGGGGCAGGATAGTGCCTGGAGCCCTCTGCCCTGTGAGAGGGCCAGGCCTAAGTAACGGAAAGAATCATCCACCAGCCATGTTTCGTGGCATGCTTGGTGTGATGAGGGTGCCCCATTAGGAGTGGCCCCCAGCCTGTGAACAAACAAAGACCCCAGCCCTTACAGGTCATCTCCAGAGCCCCCACAATAGACACGCAAGTGAACCCCTAGAGATCCAAGAGGTGGAATGGCCAGAGCCTGTGGACACAGGAATGTGGGGCTGAGAGCCTAGAAGGTGAGCTTCAGACCTTGTCCTTGGGGCTGGGAGCCACCTGGAAATGAAGGTTCCCATGCACAGGGTTCCTGGTGGTGGACCATATGTTGAGCCTGTGGGATTCTGAGGGTCGTCGTGAGGGGGCTGGAAGGCTCTCACTTCAACTTGGTCACACTGGACAATTTACTCGGCCCCTCCTGGAGGTGGGCCCTCTGAGCTGGCTGGGCTGTGTCTGTGGGCGGGCCCTCCGAGCTGGCTGGGCTGCACCTGGGGTTTTCCTGCCTGCTCATCGGACCTCACCCCTTCCTTTCTGAGGACTGAGGCTGCCCAGGGCTCTCTGAGGATGCAGTTCAGGTACACGTTTCGTTTCACGGATGAAATCCCCTGGGATGAGCGGCGTCTATTCATTAGGATGCGTTACACCATGCATACATACATCACAAAACAAACGTTTCATCCAGGCAAAGCATTTGCAAGCACGAGTTCAGATTTAACTATTTTAGGCAAAATCTTATCTACCCAAATATCAGTAGAATCAAAGAGTTGGTCATGTCTGCAGAGGTCCCTGTAAGGGGCAGAACCTCCCAGGGGCACAGATCAGCTTGAGCACCCAGGTCCAGGGTCCCGTCAGAGGTGCTGAGCTGGCGAGGAGGGGATTTGGTGGGGGGGACATGAGAGAAAAGCCACATGGAAATCCATTGCCATCCTCATACCCACTGCCCAGCGCATTGGCAACAACCCCAGAGCACTGTCACCGGGAGGTGTCCGGGTCCACATAGAGAGACCTCCCAGCCTGAATGCCAAGATGCAGCAACACATACCACGCGCCTGCTGCCGGAAACTGTGCCGATTCACCAAACAGTCCCAAGGCACGGGGAGACAGCGGCCCCGCAGGTTCCAGGCAGCCCTGCCATTTTACTTCCTAGGGTTGGAGGCTGCACCAAGAACATGCATCCTTTGCCTTACAGGTGAGGGAGAGACAGCCCAGAGGGAGGAACGGGTCTGCCCGAGAGCACCCTGTGGGGCCCTAAGCCTGGCATCTCGATGCCACGTCCCGCTGGGGCACAGTCTCTCGCCAGGTGAATGTGCCTGGTTTGTTAATTCACCAACAGAGAAACACATCAGAAAGATGTCACTGATCCAAGTCATATCAGTACTGCACACCCCCAAGAAGGCACTAGCTTTTGATGAGCCTGAGGAGCTCTGTGAGCTCCAGATCAGCTCAAACCCACAGGCAAAGTGAGAACGGATAGGCTCGCCACGTCCTGTATTCTGATAACTGGTAACGGAAGAAGCACAAGCCAGAGACCACAGGAAGGTGTCTCCCTCACTGCCTGATGAGTGACGCTTTAACGGTAGCCTTGGCTGACAGCTTGACAGTCATCAGAAGCCCATTTGCTCTAATCAAAGCAAACTTATGGCAGATCAACACATACAAATAACCCGACTTTCCATTTTCCATGAGGACATTGCACAGCGCCCCGTGGGTAGGCACAGAGGGTGATAAGCAGAGCCTGGGGGTCTCAGGGGGCTTTGGCTTCGGAGAAAACACCAGCACGCCCTGCTTGGCAAGGCTGCAGTCCTCCCACCCACTCCCTGGCCATTGGACTCGCTGGGGTTTTAGGGAGAATGAAGACTCATTACCTGTAAAACTGGAGCTGTCTTTTGGGACTCCCATACCGAGTACTTCGGACAGCAGTGGAGGAAAGAGAAAAAGGGGAAAGGGAGAGAAGAGAGAGAGTCCACAGTTGGCATCAACCCCAGCAGGTGCAGCTCAGAAAGTACCACCAACGTCCCGTGTCCCCGGGCCCCCGCCGGCCGCCTGCTCAGGATGGTCTCCTAGGATGCGCGGCGGGTGCCAAACGCTCTGCAGCAGCGCCACCCGGTGGCCACCCTGGAGCCAGTTTCCTGGACACAAGGGCTCCTTCCTGCCTGGCTCTATTTTCCGTGGAGAACCTCGGGGTGAGGGTCGGTTTGGATTGAACATGCTTCAGGACTTGCTTTGCAATATGCTTGCGGGCAATGGCTGAAAACCCTCCACCCCAGACGTGCCGAGAGCCCCTGTGCTGGCAAACCCGCACGTGCCTGCTGGGCTCTTTTTAGGACAGACACTGCCTGTCCCTGGCTGTCTCAGACACGGGCTCTGGTTCAGGCCCTAACGATGATCTCAAAAGGTCTGGCTGCCCAAGATCGATGGGCTGCTGGGGTCCTGCCTGTGCGCTCTTCTTTCATGGGGTCTATGCGCTGTCCCCAGAGCCTCGGCTCTCACTGAACGCCCTCTGCGGCTGTTCAGCGCTGATTATGGTGCAGACAGAAACAACCAGGGCTGCAGGCGGAAGTGAGTTCCACAAGGAGGGGCTCAGTGTGCCAGGAACATCTGGCTACCCCAACTCCCTCTGGTGTTGGGAAAAGGGCAGACATGGTTCCCCAGAGGCCTGCAAGGTCATGATCCTCACGCAGGAGAAACTGGCGGGGCCACAGGGGCCGCAGTGTATGAAGTGAGAGGAAAACAATGCCGGCATCAGCCCTAGCCGTGCACCCACCCTTGGGTCTCTGTCACCCTTGAACAAGATATTTGGAAAGGGTCAGACACAAGAAAGGAGTCTACTCTGGCTCAAACCCCCCAGAGAAGTTTTGCTTTTTCTCTCCCACTTGGGTCTTTAAAGCCCCTGCTCCTTTCTTGGAGAAAACGCTTGCCGGCGTGCACCCTGCAGCCCATGGAAGGCAGAAGCCTGTGGGCCCTGCTTGGGCCCTCCCTCCTCCAGAGCGGAGCACAGTGGTTTGGGGACCCCTCCTCGAGGCAGGACGGACCCTGGGAGGTGGCCTGGGTGAGGGGTGGGGGTCACCTGTAGATCATCCCGGGAGAGCCCGTCTGCCGCAGGGAGAGCCGAGCCGGGGAGCCTGTCGTCGATTCTGGATACATGGAGCCGGCCTCACTTGTCCAGACCTGCTCGAGTTTTTACAGTGGGAAAATTCTGGAAGAAGAGCAAAATAAGGGAGGGGAAGAGGGTGGTGGTTAAAAAAGATCAACCAGGTTTGGCTGGAGGCCCTGGGATCACAAAGGCCCAGGAGGCTGTCTGAGTTCAGGGCATCGGGGAGCTCTCAGCAGACAGACAGACAGACAGGCAGGCAGGCAGGCAGACAGACAGTAGGCAGGCAGGCAGCAGGCAGGTTGGCCCACGGGCTCAGGAGGGGCTGAGGTGCAGGTGATGACCATGAGAAGGGTTTCCACATTCCTTCATGCCACACTCCTGCCCTGCACGTTGTGGGGGTCCTTCCACACCACCACAACTGCTGTTTGGAAACCCCAGGAGTAGGTTCTGCTGCCCCCAGGTGCAGAAGAGACTGCCCAGGGGGCATCTGTGCATTCTGAGCTCCTGACTGCACTGCTATCCCTTGCCCCGGCTCCAGCCCATTGCAGCTTCCTGGTGCTGTCATTGAGCTCCTAAGTCAGGCTGCTTGTCAGATGTCACTGATGTCCCCAGCTCCTGGGATTCCTGTCCTTGGGCCGTCCCTCCCCCGGAGTGTTGGCTGGACCTAGCCAGTCCTTCTAACCCGCAGACCATGGAAAACGTAATGGGCAGACTGTCACTTCTGTCTTGCTAGAGACTGTCCCTCCTGGCTCTGACAAAGCAAGGTGTTGTGTTGGAGAGGCCCATGGCGCAGGAACTAAGGGCAGCCTCAGGTCAACAGCTGGTGAGAAGCTGAGTCCTCAGCCCAACAGCCCAAAGAAAAGAGCCTTCAAATGACCAAGAGAGCCTGGAAGTGGATCCTTTCCTACCAGAGATTTCCAAGATGAGCCCAGTAATGGCCAGCACCTCAACTGCAGCTCAGCAGTCCCAAAGCAGCAGACTCAGCCCTGCTCTGCTCCAACGCCTGACCCACAGGAACCGGGAACCAGGAGATCCCACCCTGGACTGTTTGAAGCTGCAGGGTTTGTGATGAGCTGTTACAGCAGCATCAATTATGAGTATGGCTGCCAGCATCCAGCCATCCACCCACCTCACCGGCTGCCACCCCTTGGGCTGAGCCACCGCTGCCTTTCACCTGAACCCCTGGGTTCCCTCCTAGTGGCTCCTCCTCGCCCCCTGTACCCTCTTAGCCCTGCACGCCTTGCTCCACCTGCCTGGCTGCTGTTGGGGGCTTCTATTTCAAAAGTGAATCTGGTCCCCGGCTCTTTCCTCCCCCTCCCAGGGACAGCCCCTCAGTCCCCCATGCTCTGTCTCCTGGCCCTCAGCCCAGGCCCCTGGCCCTCCCAGCAGGCCGAGCTCACACCGTCTGTGAACCCTGGCACTGGCGGCTCCTTCTACTGGCTGCGCCCTTGCAGCAGTGCTTCTCAGTGCCATGAGCCCCTACTGTGGGGCTCAGGGGTCCCAGTTGCTCCCCAGCCGACACCACGCCTTTGTTGCCTACATACAGGTCTGTGGTGCCCCTGCTCCCTCTCTGTGGGGTGCGTTCCAGGAGGGCAGTGGTTTTGTGTGTCTTGCTCACTGCTGCACCCTCACACCTAGAACGGGCTTTGGCTTCTAGAAGGACAAGGGCCCCTGATCCAAAATCACCTGGTCCTGCCCCCGCAGGCAAAGGGATGCCCCAGGCCCAAAACACAGCCCCACCCATCCACAGCAACCCACGAAAACTGTGGGAAACCTGACACGCTTAGCCCAGCGGCTGACTGGCTTTGTTTTTCCTACTTTTTTTCCCCCAAAACAGTGACCTCCCATCACCGGGAAGCAGCTTCCTCAGAAAAAAAGCAAAGTAAGGGAGGGGGCTCACAAATGACCTCTGTGCCTGGGGTTCAGGCAGCGCAGGTTTAGGTCCCCCTAACAGTGGAGGTCTCCTCTGAGCGAGGGGTGGCAGTGCATGTGCAGACCTGCTGGAAAACTGAGGCCAGCCTGGAATCCCGGTACTATGGGAGGCCGAGGCAGGAGGATCACTTGGGCGCAGGAATTTGAAACCAGCCTGGGCAACATAGAGACATTTTTTTGTAGAGACCCAGTCTCTACAAAAAAATAAAAAAAAATTAGCTGGGCATGGTGTCGCATGTCCATAGTCCCAGCTACTCAGGAGGCTGAGGTGGGAGGATCACTTGAGCCTCGGAGGTCGAGGCTACCGTGAGCCATAATTGCACCACTACACTCCAGCCTGGGCAATGGACTGAGACTCTGTTTCAAGTAAACCAAAACCAAAACCAAAACCAGAAACAAGGACAGAGGACGCCGAGAAGATGCAGCACTACGCTATCCTCAAATGCGGTGGGGCTTGGTGAGAAGATCCCCTGGAATTTTATTCTTAAAGACCCTCATTCAGGCCAGGCACAGTGGCTCAGGCCTGTAGTTCCAGAGCTTTGGGAGGCCGAGGTTACCTGGCTTTGGGGTGACTAAATCCCTGCAGCACTGGGGGGCTGGAGGGCCTCAAGGGCAGCCTCTCTTTGAGCACATTAGCAGCTCACGCATTTTGCTCTTAGAGGACTCAGAGGCAGGAGATCAATTCATCTCACTTAAAGTCGTTAAAAAGCTGTCGTTAAGCTCCCATAGATGCTGTGCTTTCCATCAGAGGACAGTGCATTTCTTCACACACGAAACACTGGCTGAGCCCTACTGCCGTGGGAGATTGCCCCCACAAGCCTCTGCCCCCAGGCTCCCCTGTCCCCAGGGAGGGGAGCCTGTCCCCCAGGGAGCCTGTCCCACAGCCTGTCCCCAGGGAGCCCCCCATGGAGGCTGCGTAAACAAACATGGCCCACTGAAGGCGGGATGTCCTCACACAGGCCTGCAGAAGGAGCTGGGGCTGGGGGCTGGGGGCTAGGAAGCCTGTGCCTTTAACAGCTGCTCCCCTGGGCAGCTGAGGGTCATGGACAGGAAACCAGGGCTGTAAAGGGGAGGGCTCTGCACAGCGCCAGGCACAGGCCTGCTGAGAGCAGAGTCC